GTGGCAGTGGAAGGTGTCAAAGCAGTTTGGAGAGAAAAACAAAGTAAAGAACAACAACAAAAAACGATTAATCGATTATTAAATTATTCATCGATTATTTTAATAATCGATTAGTCGTCGATGAATCGTTGCAGCCCTACTATAATGATTTTTAAACTTTTTATATAAATAGTAAACGAATCATACTTATATAGAGCCTTTCGATCCAACCAGGATACTCAAAGTGCTTTACAGTTTATTCTGTGTCCTCATTTACCCATTCACACATTCACTCAACACTGTGCTACAGCTGTAAACCATTCTATGCAGACTAATCAGTGCTTTAGATCACACTGATGAGACACACATCAGAGGTAATGAAGGGTTCAGAGTCTTGCCCATAGACACGTCAATATGTGACTGAACAGGGGTGGAAGCAAACCCCTAACTCTGTCATTGGAGAACGACTGCTCCAACCATTCAGCGACAGCCGCCCCCAAAAATACTAAATTAAACACTTCAAAGAATATCCTCCAAGAGTGATTGTATCATATTTGACAGGGAGCTGTACTGGCTGCAGTGGTAAAAACTAAAACAAGTAGCTGCAGATAAATGTTAAAAGATTTGCTAATATATCTCCAGATTTTAATTTTTAATGAACTTACTTTATCGTAATGTTGCTCCAGAAACTCTGCGCTCAGTATCTTGTGTCTCGTGAGGAGATCCTGGAATCAGAAAATGGTGATAATGAGCACTAAAGTTAGAAAAAAACTAAGTTTAATTAGTTTGCACTGTGACACAGCAGAAACACACTCCCATAGGCAGTAAAAACAACCGTTTCTGCCTTAGCAGACAAAACATTTCTTCACAGTCATGCGTTTGCAGCTAATGTGCAGCAAGTGGGAGCAACAAGAATAAAGAATGGCAGATACAGGTCCTTCTCAAAAAATTAGCATATTGTGATGAAGTTAATTATTTTCTGTAATGTACTGATAAACATTAAACTTTCATGTATTTTAGATTCATTGCACACAAACTGAAGTAGTTCAAACCTTGTATTGTTTTAATATTGATGATTTTGCCAAAAAAGTAAAGAAAAATCAAAAATCCCTATCTCAAAAAATTAGCATATTTCACCCGACCAATAAAAGAAAATTGTTTTTAATAGAAAAAATGTCAACCTTCAAATAATTATGTTCAGTTATGCACTCAGGAATCCTTCTCCAGAAATGACTGCTTCAATGCGGCGTGGCATGGAGGCAATCAGCCTGTGGCACTGCTGAGGAGTTATGGAGGCCCAGGATGCTTCGATAGCAGCCTTTAGCTCATCCAGAGTGTTGGGTCTTGTGTCTTAAGCTCATCCAGAGAGTTGGGTCTTGTGTCTTAAGCTCATCCAGAGNTGGGTCTTGTGTCTTAAGCTCATCCAGAGAGTTGGGTCTTGTGTCTTAAGCTCATCCAGAGAGTTGGGTCTTGTGTCTTAAGCTCATCCAGAGTGTTGGGTCTTGTGTCTCAACTTCGTCTTCACAAAATCCCACAGATTCTCTCTGGGGTTCAGCACAGTAATACCATGGTCAGTAAACCATTTACCAGTGGTTTTGGCACTGGGAGCAGGTGCCAGGTCATGGTGAAAAATTAAATCTTCATCTCCATAAAGCTTTTCAGCAGATGGAAACATGAAGTGCTCCAAAATCTCCTGATAGCTGCATTGACCCTGGCCTTGATAAAACACAGKGGACCAACACCAGCAGCTGACATGGCACCCCAGACCATCACTGACTGACAACTCTTCTYGTTGTGCAGCGTTTTCTGCCACACTTTTTCCTTCCCACAGACGTGTCTTGATACAGCAGTCTGGGAACAGCCTGTTCGTTCAGAAATGTCTTTCTGTGTCTTAGCCTCTTGCTTGAGGGTGTCAGTGATGGCCTTCTGGACAGCAGTCAGGTCAGCAGTCTTACCCATGTTGTGGTTTTGAGTAATGAACCAGACTGGGAGTTTTTAAAAGCCCCAGGAATCTTTTGCAGGTGTTTAGAGTTAATTCGTTGATTCAGATGATTAGGTTAATAAGTCATTTAGAGAAACTTTTCATGATATGCTAATTTTTTGAGATAGGGATTTTTGGTTTTTCTTTACTTTTTTGCCAAAATCATCAATATTGAAACAACAAAAGTCTTGAACTGCTTCAGTTGGTGTACAATGAATCTAAAATATATGAAAGTTTAATGTTTATCAGTACATTACAGAAAATAATGAACTTTATCATAATATGCTAATTTTTTGAGAAGGACCTGTAATATACTTGAGCCATGATTAACTTCCTAAAAGGTCTGAATAATCTAACATCAATACGAAGTGCCGTGAAGACAAAGTAAAACATAACTAAACAGTGATTTATTTTCTTTTTATATATTTACCATTAACAAGTCCCAAACAATAAGTAACCAGAGGGAAATGACACATTACCCAACTGTGTCTTTATTACTGAAGCTGAAAAAAATCACTGGAATGACGTTGCTCAGTGCGTCACTGGAAGCGAGTCAGTTGACGCCATTAAAACATAAAAGACTCGTCAAGCTGAAATGTGATGTAACAATGCCAGTCAACTTTAAAATATTAGCTGAAATGTGATGAAACAACACCAGTCAACTTTAAAATATTAGCTAACGTTTGTTCCTTTCCCACCAGAACAGCCAATGGATCGCCAGACAAATTGTTTTTGGTCAAATTGTCATAATTAGGGGTGTAAGAAAATATCGATACACTGAAATATCGCGATATTTCATTTCCCGATACTGTATCGATATTCTAAAGCCCTGTATCGATTTT